CTACCAGGCTCCGTGGGCTCCAGCACAAAGCGTCTGTGGGGCTCCAGGCGCAGGAGCTGGCAGAACTGCTGCACATCTTCGGGGCAGTTCTGGGGCTGGATCATCACCACGTCCCCTGCACTGAACCTGGGGATGAAGGGGGAGCTGCCAAGCACAGCCACGGGGCAGAGCCACAGGCACAGCACGGCCACCCTGACCAGCACCCACACCAGGGGAGGCAAATTCCCAGCGCCACCAAAGGGAGCTGGGAGCCACACAGGCAGGGACCCCCACTCTGAGGATGGGGGCTCACAGCAGGGACCGTGACCACACGACTGCAGCCCCAGGTAGCAGTGAGGAGGGCAGGCTGCAGGACACCTGGTCCCACACGACAGAGCTTGGGGGAGTCAGGAAAATGCTCACGTGATCCCTGAGCCCGCGATGTCGAACTCGATGAGCCGGACGTCCTGGAAATGGGATTGTGCCGTGACCCTGCGGTTGGACAGCACGCGGGCAGCGAAGGGATGGAGCTCACAGGGAGCTGCCCGGGGCGCTGCCGGCTGCAGCCGCTCCCTGCCGGGCCACGGGGACTCCTCGGGCACGTAGCGCAGGGTGTATCTGGGGGGCAGGCTGTGGGGAGGGGAGCAGTGCACCGGGGTCACCTGGGGGGTGCCACCACCGCTATCCCTGTCCCCTGGAGCTGGCCGGTGTAAGGGAATGCAGTGGAGACTGCCGGGAGCACATCCCAAAGGCTCCAGAGCACGCGTGGCTGGGCACACGCGCTCTGCCAGGGCCAGAGGCACATCAGGACAGCCAGACGGGCAGAAGCCAGCTGGGGCAGCTGTCACACCCCCAAGGGGACAAGGGGACACCCATCCAGAGAGAGATGGGCCACCTGTGGCCAAAGCACAAGGGACACAGGGGACACCAAAAGCTGTGTGGGGAGTGCTCCTGCCCCGAGCAGAGACATCTGCACCCTGGAGAACAGCCAAGGAAGCGGAGCCTTTCACCCCAGCCAGCCCCAGCAGTCCCTGCTCAGCCTCGGCACTCACCGCACGTCGGGACTGATGATCTCAAGGCCAGGAGGGAGAGGATACAAGGCAAGGACCTTGTCCCATAAGGCCACGAGCCAGGGATCGACCACTGCATCTGGCCTGCAGGTGGGAAATTCAGGCTGCAGCAACATCATCCCTTTAGGATCAAACCCTGCTACTCCTGCACATGCCCAACAGCCATCCCACAGTTCCCCCAGGCCATTCCCTTCCAACTTCAGGTCTGGGAAGAAACACATCCCAGCCACTCTAAGCCCTCACTCGCTCTCCAGGACCCAACCACTGATACCTGAACAGGATCCCAGTCCCTGAGCAGCACCTGTGGGGTCACTGTGTCCCTGAGCCATCCACAGCCCTTGCCCCGTGCCAGGTGAGCACAGCTGAGGCTGCTGCAATGCTTGCAGGTACAGGGCTGTGTGGCACAGGCATGCCCTGCTCTGAAGAGGGCTGGGGCTGAGCAGGGAGCCCCAGGGCCATGGCCATGTTCTGGGGGTCATGAGAAGCAAGTGGCCCAGGTCCTGGCACAAGAGGGTTATGAGCAGAGATCAGCACGTTCCCAGAGAGCTGCAGGAGCAGCCCCACGGTGGGAGCAGCACACAGCCCTGCCATCAGCCCCAGGACAGAGCTGTGGGGCACCCCGGGCCTCCCCTGCCACCCCTCCCACCCTGGCTCTTACCCCAGGTCATGCTGGTCATCTCCCAAGGCCACTGGCAGCAGCGGGTTGCCCCCAAGCTGGAGCAGCCGTTTGTGCAGCTTCTTTGCAACGAAATTAAACCTGAGCAGAGAATAACACAGGGCAGGGCTGTGCAGCAGCACAGCAAGCACTGCCACAGCACCAGCACACACTGCCAGGGCTACCAGAGCAGCACACAGGCAGAGGCAGCACTGTGACCTGGCCCATGCCCTGCCCAGCCTGTGCCCCAGCCTGTGCCAGTCCACAGAACCAGCTGGGTGCCACTTGCTGGCCCTCACAGGCTGTGCCCAGCCACAAGATGGGACAAGGGGAGGTCCAGCTTCCCTCCAGGACAGCTTGTGCCCTGAGCCATAGAACATTTCCTTCCCTCCAGCCCCTCACTGCCCCACAGAGCACAGGCACTCCCAGTAGAGCTCTTTGAGGCACACAGGAACAATCTTCTGGGAGAGACCTGGGACCAACAGGGCTGACTGCCACCTCTGTTTGATGTCTCCTGTTCCCTTGGCCCATGGCTGTGATTAAAGATCAACACATGATGTCTGACCCACTGCTGCAAAGCATCCTTGGTGAGGTTGAGAGGAAAGAAAAAGGCAGAAGCCTAATTCCTGGGGGTTAGGAGGGACACAGCAAGGCAAGGATTTTTAAGGCTGATGGGAGTTACATTTTGTCTGAGCTGCTGCTCCAGAATCAGACTCTGTCTCCCCTTACCCCCTGGGAGCAGCCACCCTGCTCTCTATTGCAGTCAGAGCTGTGAAGAGCAGCTGCCCAGGAGCTGCAGAGCTGCTTACTTGGGGTAGGAGGAGTCCCCGAGGCCCAGCACGGCGTAGTCCAGCTGGCACAGGGAGCCGGCAGGGAGGCTCTTCCGGAACAGGAACCGCCAGAACATCTACGAGGGACACAGGCAGCCAGAGCTGCTGCTGCCATGGCACCTTCCTGCCTGCTTGTCCTTGCATCCCTGCTCATCCTGGATCCCAGCACAGTGCAGAGCACAGCTTTCTGCAGAAGTGCCCCCTGCAACGACCTCAGGAGCCCCCTGCTCATGTTCCCTGGGATGTGACTACTGCTGCTGCAAAGCTCCCCCAGCAAAAATAACCCCTGCTCGAGCTGCTTCAGGAGAGAAAGCTCTGCAGCAGGAACATAAAAGCAACAGGGCAGGAGCATGTCCTACCTTCATGTTGTCAGGGGGGTCTCCCTGGCCGGTGGTTGCACACACAAACACCACCAAAGGCTCATGGATGAGGTTGGCCTGTGGGTACGAACAGGCAGAGTCAGGTCAGCACCCTCCAAAATGCTCTGGAGACAGGCTAGGACAGCTGGGGGTGTTCAGCCTGGGGAAGAGAAGGCTCCAAGGAGACCTCAGAGCCCCTTCCAGTGCCTAAAGGGGCTCCAGGAGAGCTGGAGAGGGACTGGGGACAAGGGATGGAGGGACAGGGCAAGGCGGAATGTCCATACACTGAAGGAGGGCAGGTTTAGGTCAAATATTAGGAAGAAATTCTTCCCTGTGAGGGTGATGAGGTCCTGGAGCAACCAGCACCAAGCCTGTCTGAGTTGAACAACGCTCTCGGGGACAGGGTGGGGTTGCTGGGGTGTCCTGGGCAGGGCAGGAGTTGATGATCCTGATGGGCTCCAACCCAGCTTGTTCTATGATTCCAGTGTCCCATGGGAGGTGTCCCTGCCCGTGGGGATGGAGCAGGAGCAGCAGTGCCCAGAGCAGCCCCCACGTCCCACTCACCACATCACAGCTGTCCAGGGCCTCCACTCGGCACCGCAAGTGCCGGCGCTTGGCTTCCCTCCCAACCCTCTCTGCCGTGTCCTGGGCTGTCCCAGTCTGGCTGCCAAAGAGCACGAGCAGTCTCCGTTCTGCCATCTGCAAAAAACAGCAGCAGGGAAATCACCGGGGGCAGGGGAGGGGAGGCGGAGCTGGGGCTGCCCTGGGCCGAGCAGCTCCGAGCCCCAGGGGCTGACAGCACACAGCCAGCGCAGCGATGGGGAACAGCTGGCACTCACCAGGGGGACACACGGCTCCCAGGCTCCCCTCCCAGCCCTGTGCAGCACCCAGGGGTGATGCTGTGTCCCAGCCAACAGGATAAACAGGGACACAGGGACTGTGCTCCTTGTCCCCACAAAATCCACATCAGCCCCGCTGAACTGCCCTCATCAGCACAGGGTGAGCGCAGGATCCGCTGCTCCCCAGCTCTGGGTTTTACCCTCCTGTGTGTCCCGGGAATCCTCCCTGAGCTGAGGGGCTGGGGCAGAGCTGGAGGCTCAGGGACAGACAGACAAAGGTGTGAGCACACACGGCCAGGCTCTGACAGAGCAAGGGCCCAGCCTGGAGGGAATCCAGCCCTGGGAGCTGAGCTGCGAAAAGCTGCCATCACCATGTGCCCATAGAATAATAATAAATTAAATCATAATAATAAAAAATAAAATCGCAGAATCCCAGACTGGTCTGGGCTGGAAAGGACCTGAAAGCCCATCCCATCCCACCCCAGCCATGGCAGGGACACCTCCCACTGTCCCAGGGTGATCCAAATCCCGTCCAGCCTGGCCTTGGGCACTGCCAGGGATCCAGGGGCAGCCCCAGCTGCTCTGGGCACCCTGTGCCAGGGCCTGCCCACCCTGCCAGGGAACAATTCCTGCCCAAGATCCCATCCAGCCCTGCCCTCTGGCACTGGGAGCCATTCCCTGTGTCCTGTCCCTCCATCCCCTGTCCCCAGTCCCTCTCCAGCTCTCCTGGAGCCCCTTCAGGCCCTGCCAGGGGCTCCCCGGGGATTCTCTCCCCAGGTGAGCACCCCCAGTCCCGGGGCCAGGCCCGGCCCGGCTCGGGACTCACCATGCACCGGCCCCATCCCGCCGCTGACGTCACCACTGCGCGACAGCTCCCGCTGACGTCATCGTCCAGGCTGAGGCTCCGGGACTCTACAGGCACCGCTCCCCCGTCTGATGACGTCATCCGTTCGTCGCCTCTCCCCGTGACGCCATCGCCCCGCGCCGCCAGCCCGGGCCGGGCCTGGGGCCGGTGTCGGTGCTGGGGCCGGGCCGGGCCGGGCCGGGCTGAGCTGGACCGGGCCGAACAGGGCCGAGCCGAGCCGAGCAGGGCCAAGCCGAGCCGAACCGAACCGAGCCGGGCCGAGCTGAACCGAACCGAGCCGGGCTGAGCCGATCCGATCCGAGCTGAGCCGGACCGGGCCGGGCTGAGCCGAGCCGAACCGGGCCGGGCTGAGCCGGGCCGGGGACTTGTGCCGGTGCCGTTCCGGGTCAGGGGCCGGTGTCGGTACTGGGGCCGGGCCGGGCCGGGGACTCGTGCCGGTGCCGGTGCCGGTGCCGGTGTGACTCGTGCCGGTGCCGGTTCCGTAGCCCCGGACGATGCTGTTCTCCCTGCGCGAGCTCGTGCAGTGGCTCGGCTTCGCCACCTTCGAGATCTTCCTGCACGGGCTGGCCCTGCTCGCCTTCTCCGTGCTGCTCGTGCTCAAGCTGGACGGCGCGGCCGCCGCGCTCTCCTGGTGGATCGTGTTCGTGCCCTTCTTCGCCGCCGACGGGCTCAGCACCTACTTCACCACCATCGTGTCCGTGCGGCTGTTCCAGGACGGCGAGAAGCGGCTGGCGGTGCTGCGGCTCTTCTGGATCCTCACCATCCTCAGCCTCAAGTTCGTGTTCGAGATGCTGCTGTGCCAGAAGCTGGTGGAGCACACGCGGGAGCTCTGGTACGGGCTCATCATGTCCCCGGTGTTCATCCTGCTGCAGCTGCTCATGATCCGGGCCTGCCGCGTCAACTGAGCCGGGCCCGGGGGCTGCTCCCGGTGTTCCCGGTGTTCCCGGTGCTCCCGGTGCTCCCGGTGCTCCCGGTGTTCCCGGTGTTCCCGGTGTTCCCGGTGTTCCCGGTGTTCCCGGTGTTCCCGGTGTTCCCGGTGTTCCTGGTGCTCCCGGTGTTCCCGGTGTTCCCGGTGCTCCCGGTGCTCCCGGTGTCCCCGGTGTTCCCGGTGTTCCCGGTGTCCCCGGTGTTCCCGGTGTTCCCGGTGTTCCCGGTGCTCCCGGTGCTCCCGGTGTTCCCGGTGCTCCCGGTGCTCCCGGTGTTCCCGGTGCTCCCGGTGCTCCCGGTGTCCCCGGTGTTCCCGGTGTTCCCGGTGTTCCTGGTGCTCCCGGTGCTCCCGGTGCTCCCGGTGTTCCCGGTGTTCCCGGTGCTCCCGGTGTTCCCGGTGTTCCCGGTGCTCCTGCTGTTCCCGGTGTCCCCGGTGCTCCCGGTGCTGTCCCCGTGCCGAGGAGCAGGTGACACGCTGGGACAGGGGCAGGGCCCCGGCCGTGTTGCAGAGCATCCCATTTCTCCAAAAGCTGCACATCCCTCTCTGTGCTCCCTCAGCTCCTGCGCTGTCCTGTCCTCCCAGCACGGCTGGGCATCACAGTCATTTTATTTTCAAATAAAAATGCGTTCAAGGACTGGGTTTATTTATAAAATTCTTTTTGCCTAGAAAGAAAGCAGTTGTACCTAAAACCGCTGCCTGGAGGGTGGGTGCTTGCTGTAGATCTGGTACAGCCCAGACTCCTGCCCTGCCCTGCAGCTGGCTCATGGATTTCCAGCTGTCCCCTCTCCTCTCTTCATGCCTTCAGTGTGCTGGCAGGGTTTTGTAAGGTCATGCTGAGATCACTTGTGTGCATTTTTGAACAGGAATATGATTTTTCTTCTTTGTGTTTCACTCCATTTGCTAAATGTGGAAATGGGGGTGTGGGGAGGGCAGGAGCATGCACGGTGGATGCTGGTTCTGAACGGGGGGTCACACTGAGCCCCAGCCTTGGGGTGCAACACTGCCCTCAGACCCCCAGAGAACAGGAGCAGTTCAGTGTTCCCTGTGGAAGAGCAGAGCAGTGTGTGAAGTGCCAGTGCCACGGGGATGCCCAGGGTGGGATTGTTGGGGTGCCTGTGGTCCCTGCCGGCTCAGGAGATTGTGATTCTCACACACCCAGAGACCTGGACCTGCCTCCCAGGTGCTCTCCAGCTCCCGTTTCACGTTGGGATGTGATCTCCCAGGGCTTGGTGTCACCTGTCCCAGGTGCTCAGGTTATTGCACTCGGAGCCTCGCTGGCTCCCCTGAGCCAAGGACGTGTCACCTGGGAGGTGGCAGCCGCCTGCCCCTTGTCACCTCCCGCTCACAGCAGTGTCAGCTCACCCCTCTCTGTGGTTGTGCCACACGCCCCCAGTGGCCCCAGAGGCCACGCTGCTGTGGCACCTGCTGTCACAGGTGTGTCACTGCTGTGGGGCTGGGAGCTGTGTGGGCTCAGTGTCTCTGACAGCAGCAGGACAGGCAGCAAAGCCTCTGAGTCAGGAGGGGACACTCCTGGGGACCCATGGTGCCTTTGGACACTCCCACACCACCAGTTAATTAATAAACTAGGGCAGGGGCTCATCAGACCCAAAGAACATCAAACAGATGATCCCATCCCTCAGCCTCGCTGTGGTGCTGCACGGGCACCGAGCCCTTTCCTGCTGCCCAGCCCTGGTGGGGCTGCCTGGGCCGTGAGTCCCAAACCAACAGCAGCTCTGTCACTGGGGTGTGGTGTCCAAGACAGGGGGACACTCCCCTGTGTGTCCCAGCCATCCCCTGTGTGTCCCAGCCATCCCCTGTGTGTCCCAGCCATCCCCTGTGTGTCCCAGCCATCCCCTGTGTGTCCCAGCCATCCCCTGTGTGTCCCAGCCATCCCCTGTGTGTCCCAGCCATCCCCTGTGTGTCCCAGCCATCCCCTGTGTGTCCCAGCCATCCCCTGTGTGTCCCAGCCATCCCCTGTGTGTCCCAGCCATCCCCTGTGTGTCCCAGCCATCCCCTGTGTGTCCCAGCCATCCCCTGTGTGCCCCATCCATCCCCTGTGTGCCTCAGCCACCTCACCTGCAAGTGACTTTGCCAGTGTTCTGCTGCTGCCTCGAGGACGAATCGGTGGCCGGCGTGTCCCAGCTCTGCTCTCTGAGGTAAGGCAGCTTTCCTGGGGTTTGTGGGAACACAGGGGTGGCACAGCATTGAGCAGTGGCACGGGCTGTGCTGCCCTGGTGGGGGTGCTGGGCTGGAGGGGTGGTCTGGCAGCCAGGACCACCCCGTGTCCCTTTCCAGGACTGGTGCCTGGTGCAGAGGAGCCGCCTGCTGTGCCCAGGGCCACCAAGTCCTGGAACAAACCTTGTTGGGGCATTTGCCCTGGCACACCAGCCTGTGGCCACACAGAATTCCTTCTGGGAGCACCCCCATGGAAACATCCTGCTGGAGCCTCCCCCTGCAGACACAGCTTGAGGGGACCCTGACACCCATTCCCTGCCCAGTGTGAGCATCGAGGGCTCTGGCGAGGGATGGAGACTCCTCGGGTCCAGGCCAGCACTCTTTCCCATGCTGGAGTACACCCTGGCAAAGATGAAAATCTCACCTCTGGGTTTGTTTTTGGTGCTGTGCCTGGTGGGTTGGGTATTGCTGCCAGCAGGTCCTTCCCAGTCCCAGCAGCAGGGGAGTGTTCTGCTGCTCTGGCCATGTGGATACCCTGGGCCACAAGTGCAGCTTCCCAAGGCTGGTGCTGCAAACCCCAGCCCCAAGGCTCTCTGTACCCCCGGGCTGGTGGGGAAGGAGCCTCTGCACAGCCCAGAGCAGCAGCCCTGTGACAGAGAGACAGTTCCAGCCCCAGCTGCCGCCCTCCTCTGTGTCCCAGCTCCTGCAGGGACGGGAGCAGCCCTTGGAAAGCCTTCTGGAACTGGGGAGGGGTACACTGCAGGACAGCAGCCGGTGCTGCTGTGTCCATACACGGAGCACAGCCTGCCTGGCACAGCCCAGATGGGCTCCATGCACCAGGAGGACAGGGCTCCAGCGTGACCTGGGCCTCCAGAGGGGCAAGGGGGCTCCCAAAAGACATCTGGGAATGGATGGCCCAAGGGACCTCCATCCCTCCCTGCAACTTGCCATGGAGAGCACCCGGGGACAAGGAAGCTTCAGGTGGCCCAAAGCCCACCAGTCCTGCTGGAATGAGAGTGGAAGGAAGGGAGAGCTGGAGCTGGTCCCTGCTGGGACCCAGGGAATGTCTGGCAGAGGAACATGGGGCAGGAGCAAGTGGAGCAGCTCACCTGGAGCCATGGGACATGCTCAGAGCCACAGCCTGCACCTCCCACCCCGGACTGGAGTGACCTCACAGAGCAGAAACTGAGTTCAGGGAAATGAAATCTTTTTAAACCCTGAGTCAGGGTGTTTTCCTTTCTGAAGGCACCAGGAAGCTGTTGGCAGTGGAGGTGATGTCATTTCACAAACACCAGTGATGGCTGGGCTGGAGTCCCACCAGTCCCCACACCAGCCTGGCAACTCCCTGCTGGCTCCCAGAGTCATTGCAAGGGCCACAGGCAAACAAATACATGCCAAAAGCAGATCAAACAGGGGTGTGTGTGTACTCTAGCCACACTTCCCCACAGCAGATTTGTCCATCGAAAGTCAGGATGAGACACTTGGTCCCTTTCTCAATTACGAGCAAATAGCACATTCCACTCTCACCAGAGCACAGCCCTGAAGCCAAACAGGGCTGGGGCTGGGCATGGCCCTTCCATGGGATGCTCAGATATCACATAACCCTGAGACCCCTAATTTTAGTCGAGACACCCCTTTGGGAGGGGCTGTCTGAAGAAAATTGAGGGCTGGATGTAGCACAGAGTGCTGCTAGGGCAGTGAGGGCTGCCCTGCACAGCATTTGACTCAGCTGAGAAAAGGCAGCTGGAGCTGTGTCCTTGTGCACAGATCCCTGTGATCCTTGTGATTCCCAGCCAGGGCAGCATCACCTTGCAGAGCTGCAGTGGGGTCAGCATGGGCAGGGGGAACAGCCCCTCAACAGAACCTCTGGGACTATTTCTTTACTGCAAAAAGGGACAGGACAACTGGAGAGTTGCTCATGCTCTGTTTGGGTTTGCAGCTGGAGGTTTTGGTCAGCTCTGGGCGCTCACAGCCACTGGCAGTGCCACACGTCCTCGAGGGACCGGGGCTGGTTGTGCCTCTCTGTCCCCCATGGGACGAGGCCCCCCATGCTCAGCAGCAGGGGATTGCCAGAGCAGGGACATCACTCACCCCTCCCAGCGAACCCAGCTGAGCCCAGAGCTGGTGTGGAGCTGGGAATGCAGGAGTGCTGGCTCCTCTGTGCTTCAGGAGCCCAAAGGAGATTGCCACGGGAAGTGCCATGAGCCCACAGAGGCTGTACCAACACACCATCGTATCACAAATGAAAGGGTTTGTGTTTATTTTGTTCTTTCAGGTAAGATTCAACTGTGTTTTCCCAAAAACAGGGCGAGTCTTATCTGAAATGCACTATGGACATTTCCCTAAGTCTCGGAGAGGGGATTTGTTGAAATGAAGCACCATGAGAAGGTTAAAAATTCACTGCAGTACAGGACAAACAAAAGAACTTACGAAAGACGAGGGAATAACCAATCCTGCAGGAGCTGAGAGCCACGACCCAAAAAGTGAAGAGCAGGAGCACACTATAAATCCAATTACAAAGCCAAAGAACAACTTTGTGTGATTCCAGTGCTCATTAACATAGTAAAATCCCTGCCCACATGCTGTGATCACCCCTTCCCCACATCTGCCGGCATTGCCCCGTGAGACTCGGCTGGAACTGCCCCTGCTCGCAGATCCTTGTGATAGCCCCGGCAGGAACAGCGAGCAGCTCCCTGCTGCAGCCCTTCCAGGGAAGAGCCGAGTCCTGCCCCTCTGCTGCCCCTCTGCTGCCCCTCTGCTGCCCCTCTGCTGCCCCTCTGCTGCCCCTCTGCTGCCCCTCTGCTGCCCCTCTGCTGCCCCTCTGCTGCCCCTCTGCTGCCCCTCTGCTGCCCCTCTGCTGCCCCTCTGCTGCTCCTCTGCTGCCCCTCTGCTGCCCCTCTGCTGCCCCTCTCCTCTCCTCTCCTCTCCTCTCCTCTCCCCTCCCTCCCCAGGGTGTTCAGGGACCCCAGGAGCAGCACAAAGGGGCTCAAACACATCGAGGTGTTGCTCACAGCCCCGGGCTCTTGGCCTCTCAGCATCCCCTGGCAAAGGCCGCTGCTGAGCCCCCTGGCAGGGCAATCCTCCCCTCTGATGTGAGTTTCCATCTCGCTGGGGTAAAAGCTGTTATCAGGCACCCCAAATGTCACTCATCTCCTACAGACCTTGTAGAGAGCTTGTAATGGGAATGTTGAGGCTGGGGAGAGCAAAGTGGAAACAGAAATGGGGGTGGGACAGCACAGAAAAGCAGAGTGTCAAGGGTTAAACGCTGTGGATTCCATTCAAATGAGGAGGAACTAACTGGCTGAAAATAATGGCAATGCCAAACCGGCCATGAATATTCACCTGCAAGATAAACAAGAGTTTTGCCTAAGGCTGATGAGAGAAAATAATGCAGGAAAGCTTTTCCAGCAGTATCAACTTCCAAAGGCCACAAAAGACAAGTCCAAGGTGTGTTTGGAGGAGGCAGAGGCAGCTCTGAGGAGTCCCCGGGGGCACAGGCTGGGTGAGCTGGGGCAGGGCTCCAGCAGGTGAGCTGCCGCTCCTCACAGCCTGTGGAACACATCCTCCCTGCCCTGCCCCTGCCTCACACCGGGCCTTCTGCAGCTTCCCCTGCTCTCTGCTCCGGCCAGGGCTCCTCTCGCCCCTCCCAGACCCGATCCCTCCCGGCAGGTGGGCACCTGGAACATCCCCGTGATCCCACCATGGCTCTGCCAGGCCCTGGGACAACCAGCCCCTCTCTCCTCCCACTCCCCGTGTTTTCCTAATGCTGCTTTTCCCAGGAAAAGATCAGATTATTCACCAGGATTTCTGAGTGGCACAGCTTGAGACAGGGTCGGCTTTTGGAGCTTTTTGGACTCAGGGGAGAGAAAACGAATCCATGGGAGGTGTCCCTGGAGACTCTGGTGCTGGACCTCAGAGTGGAGCCAACACGGACACGAGGCCTTTTCCCTCTCAGAGGAGGAGTCTCAACTCATCCATCATTTGGCTGCCAGTGGGACTCCCCAGAAATGCAAGGGGGGCCCTGGGAGCTGCCTCAGCCATGTCCCAGCAGTGTTCCCAAGTCACCCCGTGTTGGAAAGGGAGGATGAGCTGTCAGGCAGGGGGCACGGGGTGCAGCTGGGGAGGAGAGGAACCTCATGCAGGACAGGAGTGGGGTGTGCCATCCCCCCCTCACAGGGCTCCCCAGCGCTGAGCCCCTGCCCCGTGTGGCCGAGCCCTCCCTCCTGGAGCATCTCCAACCAGCAGGGCAGGGAAAGGACAACCAGAGAGCACACGGCTGTGAGGAGGCTGTTTTACAGCTGTGCCAGCTCCAGCTCACCAAGCCAGCACTCAGAGCCCCCCAGGACAAGTCTGTGGCCTGTGGGCACACAGGGCTGACTCCTGGCAGCTCCTCGCAGAGGGGTGGCAGCAGGACCGGTGGAGGCAGCGCTGCTACAGCTGCTCATAGCCGGAGGAATTTCTCTGGCAGCGCGTGGCTGTGAGCAGGCAGAAGGTGAGGATGAGCATGATGGCCAGCAGAACTGAGGCTGCTATCCAGCTGCTTCTCGGGAGCTCTGTGACTGCTGCAGGAGGCTCTGAGGGGATCATGTTGGTGAGGTTGAGCATGTAGCCCAGAGTCCAGCCCACGTCTGTGTCAGCAACCTGTGCAGGGAAGAGGGATGGGAAAGGCTGTGAAGTACCAGGCAAACTAGAGAAGAGCCTGCACCCTCAGGTTCTGCTCCACCATTTCGGTGCCCACCTTGGGCTGCAGAGGCCCCAGAAGTGACAAACTGGGGGAGAGCACAAAGGGCCAGATGTCCCAGCAGCTGCATGAGGGCAGCTCCAGAGCTGCCCTGGTACAGGCAGTGGGGCTGTATCCCTGGTATCCCCCATCCCCAGCAGCTCGGGGTGGCCACAAGGCACTTCATGGCACAAGAGGGGCAGCTGGGGGTGCTGGACACGCTCCTACCTGCTGGGTGAAGTGGATGTTGGGCCATGTGGTGGTGTTGAATTTGTAGCCTTGCAGGAGAAGGGTGAGGGTGTAGGAGCTGGCTGTGCAGGCGTCACGGAGCTGGGTCCTGCTCGCCATGGGGAACAACTCCTGCACCTGCACAGGGGGAGAACAGGGGGAGGCTGGACACAGAGCAGTGCTGGATGTGCCCACACTGGGGAACAGCCCCTCAGTGCAGCCAGGAGCAATGACCAGGACAGCAAGGGGACCCTGGCGTTCCAGGGCTGCTCTCCCATCTCTCTCCAGGTACAGAGACCTTGGTGCTCCTGCTGGCTCTCTGCAGCTGAGCACAGCAGAGGATGGGCTGTGGATGAGCATTCAGGCTGCCCAATGCCCAGGTGAAATGCACTCCTGGATAGAATCTCACCTGTTTCCAGCTGCTGCTGCAGATCTGCCTGATGGTGTCATTGACCAGGCTCAGGGACTGCCCTCCTGTCAGGTTCAGAAAGTGAAGGCTGTGATAAAACCCCGAGAAGGCCTGTGGGTGACGAGACCAAAGGTGACAGGTTAGTGAAGCACTCGGGCCACTGATGCCCCCCACCCCTGTGCAGGGGTCCCTGTAAGGCCCCTCTCAGCACTGCAAGGTGGGAAGGAACTTGGGAATGCTGCCCACAGGGACAGGGAATGGTGCTGGGAGAGCAGAGGGCTGGGGCTGCTGGGCATGCAGGTCAGCACCCTCTGTGTCTCCACGTGTCAGGCACAACCCAGCTCCAGGGCTGGCACTGCCCGGACATCTCCTGGAGCAGTTTCCCAGGGGTTACACCCCAAACTCCCATTGTCCCCCCAGGGGCAGGGACAGAGGCTGCTTACAAAGAACTGTCCCCGCACGGGGGGCTGATACACCCCATTGAACCCGCACGGCCGCTCTGCCCCGCAGCTGAAGTTGAAGAGACTCTGGATGGCCGTGCCACACGCGCCTGGCTCCCCTGTCCCTGTCACCGTCAGGACCAGGCCAGGGCTGGCTGAGCTCGGTGCACGCACACAGGGGCTGTCGTACAGCTCTGCCACAGTGAGGTTCTCCCGGTACCCCCGCGGGTAGCAGGGGTGGGAGATCTGGGCACTCGAGCTGGCCTGGAGAGAGACAGAGCCATTAATGGGGCTGCCATGCCACCGAGACCCTTCCCACAGCCCAGCCCAAAGAGCAGCACCTCCACCCCAGGAGGACTGGATGCATCCCAGCCTGGAGCTCCCTGAGCATCCCTGGCTCCCACAGCACTGGGCTCTGGCTCTGGCCCCGACACTTGTGCAGGGACTGTGCTGGGAAACCTCTCTCTGGCCACAGGTGGAGCAAGGGCAAGAGAACGGGGACACCAAAAACCCAACAGATACGGCTGGGCTCGGGAAATGACAAGAAACGCCACTGCACGTCCAGATGTGGGGAGAAGGGAGCCCTGGCTGGCAAGCACCAGCACCTTCCACACAAAGGAGGGAATTCTGGGCTTCCCTAGATAAAATCCAGGCCTCTGCCAATTCCCAACTCCTTGCCCACAGGCACGCCCAAACGTGCTGCAGGAGACGGGCCGTGGGGCTGGGAGATGGCTGAGCAGCCCCCGTGGCACCTGGTGCAGAGCTGCCAGCAGCATCTTCAGGGCCTGGCTCTGCCCGTAGCACAGGTAGCTGTGGCTGTACAGGGAGTAGTTGGTGCCGTAGAGCCGGAAGAACACGGACGTGTTCCTGTCCTGCACAGGGACCCCGGGCTGGAAGGTGATCTGCGTCGAGGCACCGCCAAGGTCCAGAGCTCCCAGAACCTCGGTGTCCTGGGGATGTTCCCATTGCTCTGCAAACGAGAACTGGCCCCACACGCGGCCAGGGTTAGGCTGAGCTGCAGGAGCGCTCACCCACGCTCCCTCCCTCCCTCCCTCCCTTCCTTCAGGGACTTTGGGCCTCACAAGCCCCAGAGGCACCTTCCACGTGCTCCCCGTTTCACCCCTGCCTGCCCACATCCTCCTCAAGCCACACACACTGCCCCGAGCACTGAGCTGCGGCCTCTTGGCTGCTGCACATCTGCTGGCACCCACATTTCCCTCTGGGCAGGGAAAAAGGAACTCTGTCTCCCGGAGGCCGATCCCGTGTCCCCGGCATCCCAAAATCCACCCGTGTGTCAGCAACCAGAGCACAGGGCCAGGCCGAGCAGGACACAAAGGTGCTGGGAATCACTTCAGTGGGGTAGAATCTGCAGCCCCCGAGCACAGGGGCCCTTGGCTCGGGTGAGCGGTGTCCCAGAGCTCCGCTCTTCCCTCCTGTGCACGTCAGGAAAGCTGCTGGAGCTCGCACAGGGACGCTCTCCGCACTCCCCCGTCCCCAGCTGCACCTTGAGCAGTGTCTCCAGCAGGTAGTTGACAGTGATCCAGCCAAAGGAGCCCTCCTCGCTGCCCGTCAGGATCCGAGCTCCGCGGAAATGCACGGGATACTCCCCGATGGCCTTGGACACCTCGGCCAACACCTGCTGGGCCTTGGTGCCGTTCTCCTCCCTGCCAGCAAAGGCACCGGCAGCTCAGGTGCTGCAGGCCCCGGCTGGCAGCTCTGGGAGCCGGGCTGGCAGCGAGAGGCGGCCGTGCCCTGCCAAGGAGCTGCTGTGAGACATCTCCCAGCGCTGCCCTGCCTGCGGCCGGCTCCCGCAAACCCCGCATGGCTCAGCCGGGCCCGAGGCCATGTCCCTAAAGATGCCGCCCGCAGCCTGTGCCGCAGCCCTGCAGGAGCTGCTGCCGCTCCGCCTGAGGGGGCTCGTCCCCTCTGGGGCTGCTGCCGGCCCGGGGCTGCACAGGGCCGGGGCCGGGCCCCGGGCACGGCCGGCGGCTCTCCCGGCCAGCCCAGGGCAGCGCAGGCAGGGATGCTCTGCCCGTCCCCACGGCCCCCCAGGGCTGGCAGCGCCCCCGAGCCCCAGCCCCTGTGCCCCGCTGCCAGCCCCGGCTGCGGGCGGCCCCGGAGCGCCGCCAAGGCCGGCAGCTGCCCCTGCCCGTGCCGCTACCTCAGCAGCCGCATGCCGGCCGTGGCCCCCAGGTACGTGGGGGTCTCCCGCTGCTGCTCGGCCGGGACGATCTTCATGGCCTTGTCCAGGCAAGGCTTCAGGCTGGCGCCAGCCCCTGCAGGCTCATCGGCGTAGCTGGAGATGCCGGGTCCTGCCACAGGGAAGCGGCGATGGAGAGAGCCCAGCGGCACCCCGGAGGGACGGCACGCACGGGGACATGTCCACATGTCCACCCCATTCCCCAGCAGCTCCCCTGGGCCCCCTCAGACACAGCCCGATGTCCCAGCCAGAGCACCAGCCCTGCTCGGGGCTGCACAGATACCAAAATACCAATTGCTGCCCCGGCACCACCTGAGGGGAGACACCGGATTGCTCAGGGACTTGTGCAGAGCTTTTGGGGGCCCCTGTGGGCACCCAGAGCTGCAGATCATGAAACAAGGTGTGAACAGATGTGGCAAGAAGAGCCAGGAAGCCGAGTCAGGGGAGAAGGAGCAAACTGCACATCCAGCATCCCAAGCTGTGACAGGACAGAACTGGCTGCAGGACCTGAGCTGAGTGGGGACCCGATTCCTCCCCCCATTCTGCACCTCCCGGTGACTGTAGGGCTCCCTCAGGCGCACACTGTTCCCTGACCCTTCCTGTGCTTCCTCACAAGGCAATCTCCCTTCAGCCCAGAGCAGGCTGAGACACTCAGATCAGTGATGGTGCTGGGGGAGCTTGGGACAGTGACCCAGGAGGCTGGGAGAGAGGGAGGACAGATCCTGGCACACTCACCAGACACAGAGCAGGCCTCCACCTGGGAGACAATGCCGGTGCCGTTCTCCTTGTCTGCAGGCCACCGGTAGATGTAGAGGGACGTGTGTGTGGAGCCAGCATCAAACACCAGACCGTACTGGGGAGGCACAGGGACACGGGGTCACAGCTGGCTCAGGGCTGCACCAAGCACCATGGGGGTGTGAGCAGCAGAGGTCTGCACATCCACCCTCCCCTCAGCAGCCCTGCTCCACCTCTACCAGCCCCGCTTTCGCCACTCCAGCGAGTTCCAGCTCAGGAAGGACGCGCAGGTCAGTGGGGTGAGCTGCAGAGCAGTGAGGCATCCAGGCATGGCCCAAAGGGCTCAAGCAGCTCCCAGACCTTCGGCAAATCTCACAAAACCTGACATTTTTTAGCAGAGCAGCAGCAAAAAGCAGTAGGGGAGAGAGGTGTAAACCCAACAGGTGAGTTGGATGTCTGAAAACAGGAAAGAGAGTGCCTGTGGTGGCAGATGGAGCAGCCGTGGGGAGAAGGCTGCACTTATCTCTCCCATCCTCAGCAAGCTGCCAGGACCGTGGTTTGGGGGAGGTTGATCCCAGTGCCACCTCCATGAGGTTAAGTCCTGAAAAGCTGGGCTGGTTTTGGGGACACTTGCAGCTGAGAGAAAGGCAGGGCTAATGGAAGAACTGGAGGCAGGAAGGGGCTGGTGGCATCCCCGGGCTGCCCCCCAGGTCTCACCGGACACCTACTTTGATCCTAGCAGGAAGGACAGCATCCTTTGCCGGGATCAGGACCAGGACAAGGACGGTCACCGTCAGCAGTCCCAGCACGGCCGCCGAAGCCCAGCTCACCGCCCCGAGCAGGCGCTGCGACATCAGTGGGCTTTGGGGAGGTCTGTGGGAAGGGAAGGGTTTGGGAGGGGTCACCGGGGAGGGATTTGGGAGGGTCTCTGGGAGGTTTGCGGGGAGGCGGGGTCTCTGGGAGGAGGGTCTGCAGAGAGGGGCGGCTTTGGGGAGGGGGGTGTGTGGGGAGGGAGGGTCTTTAGGATGAGGGCGTCGGGGGGTGGGTCTGTGGGGCGGGATGGTCTCTGGGAGGATCTACGGGACGGGGAGTCTTTGGGAGGGTGTGTGGGAAGGGATGGTTTCGGGAGGGTCTGCGAGGAGGAAGGGCCTTTGGCCTCCAGCCCCTGCGGGGGTCCCCCCACCCCCTAAGTGACGCCCTGGGACACGAGGTGGGCGGCTGGGGAGAACACGAGCTTGCGTGGTCCCGAGCCGCCGGGAAGGGGCAGGGGAGCTCCGGCCGTTCCGTACCTGTGCCCGGAGCCGAGTCCGTCCCCCGCTGGGGCGGGGATGGGGGCACGGCCCGTTCCCCCCCGGGCCCGTTTCCCCCGGGCCCAGCAGAGCGAACAGAAAGCGAAGCTGAGTCGCTCTCGGACGTCCGGGTCCGGCCCCGGCCGGGGCGGGCTCTGAGCGCTGCTGCGGGCGGAGAGAGCTCGGGGCTGGGGACAGCGGGGCCCGGCCTGCCCGGAGCTCTGCCTGTAACCAAACTGTGCTCTGCCTGTAACCAAACTGTGCTCTGCCTGTAACCAAACTGTGCTCTGCCTGTACCTCCTGTGCTCTGCCTGTAACCAAACTGTGCTCTGCCTGTAACCAAACTGTGCTCTGCCTGTACCTCCTGTGCTCTGCCTGTAACCAAACTGTGCTCTGCCTGTACCTCCTGTGCTCTGCCTGTAACCAAACTGTGCTCTGCCTGTACCTCCTGTGCTCTGCCTGTACCTCTGCTGATATGCAGATAGAACTATAACTCGCAGAGCAGTTATAAGAGCAGGTATGAATTTATTCAGCGCTGAGGTGCATGGGGATATCTCCTCCAAAGGCATGCACACCTTGGAGACCTTTTTCTCCCTTTTTGTTCTCTACAAATTAAGATTACACAGTACACCTAATACATATTCATTTGCTAACCCTGCCTGTCCCCACTTCCTATTAAAATTAATTCCATGCCTATTTGCAGCTGTGCGCTGCTCCTTGTTGGTCACTCTGGTGGTCTTCTGGGGTCTTTGGGGCTGAACTCAGCAATTTTCCTTCAGCTGAACTTTTAACCTTGTCTCTTTGCACATGCTCCTTTCAGTTATTTTGAGCCCCCTCTTTCCATTTCTTCCGGCTTAGGGGTCCAAAAGAATCCAAGGAACCCCCTCATCCTATGGTGCATTTATCTTTGCATCCTGTTTACCTATTCCAGCTCCTTATCTCATGCTGCAGTCTTTATTCTCTTCCTCCTATTATGGGAGCAGTCAGCATTTCACACGGGTTCTGTAGCCCCTTCTTTTACTCAAGGCAATTCTTATAAATGATACCTAATTCTTATTTTCTCTGTTTCATTGCCTGCTCCCTGCCTGCTCCCTGCCTGCCCTGTCCCAAAGCCACGGGACTCTGGCCATGGGCAGATGCTCTCCATGGGGACAGACAGGACCCTGGCAGTGGGGGTGGCTCCCTAACCGTGGGGACCTGCTGTGGGGACAGCTCCTCACCTTCCAGATCCTTCCCGTTTCTGTCCCGAGCCCCGCTGCCAGCCTGGCTGTGCCTGCAGCAGGACCGTGGGGGTCCTGCAGAGCCGGGTGACAGCAGGGTGACAGCACGGTGACAGCAGGGTGACAGGGCAGGCTCGGCCCCTCACGGTGTTCGTGCCTCAGGTCTGGCAGGGCTGTCTGGGGCTGCCGGGGCTCAGCTGCTGCCTTATCCCGGCTCGCAGGCTCCGGGGGCAGGGGCTGCCCGCGGTCTGTCCCCTCGCTGATCTCCGCGGGCAGCGCAGCTCCCGGGCCGGGCCGTGCCGCTCCTCCAGCAGCGAAGTGGTTAATCCCGGGTGCTCTTTCCAGCCCGGCTTTCCAGCCCCAGCCCTGCTGCCTCCCGGACAAGCGCTCCCCTGGGCAGGTTGCTGGGCCGGGGCCAAGGGGAGGTCCGGCCCGGAGGGACAGCCTTTGTCCCAGGAGCGGGCTCCGGGCTCCAGGTGCGCGCTGGGACCGGGCACGGCGGGGCCGGAGCGGGGCCGGAGCCGACGGGGTGAGCCGGGAACGGGGTGAGCCGGGAACGGGGGAGCCGGGGACGGGGGGAGCTGGGAATGGGACCCCTCGGTGGAGCCGGGACCCCTCGGTGGAGCTGGGCTGGCTGCGGGCCCCGGGCAGCAGAGAGGGCGGTGCTGGGGGAAACACGCTCCGTGGGCTGGAGGGGCAGGACGAGAGGTCTGGGGCGGCCGCTGGAGGTGCCCGGGTGGGTGCAAGGGGCAGAGGGGCACGGAGGGGACAGGGACCGGGCGTGGAGGACACTGCCAAGCCCCAGCGCTGGTGGGAGGTGGGATGCAGGGAACTGCTCCACCTGGCAAGGATGCTCCTGGCATCCACAGTCACCCTCTCAGAACCTTCAGAGCTGTCAGGAAAATTAATCCACAAATACCAGAGGTTTATGTCCAAAAAGGAGACAGAGAGGAGTCCTTTTACTTTATTCAAATAAAGGGAGAGGCCATGGGGCATTCCCCTGGGGTCTCTCAAATTTTTGGAGGGCGCAGCCTCCTTTTTATCCTAATTCCCGGCCGCTTGTCCCTTCTCTCTTTCCCCACTGGCTGAGGTACTTGAGAGGTAGAGAGTTCCCCGAACACCTGATACCTGGGATATCCCCCAATGCATAATCCCTTCTTAATTCTTAGCTCTTGTGGAATTTGTGGTGCTTCCTCAGTGCCTCTTTCATCCTTCAGTGGAATCCATCCCATTGTTTCTGTTATCTCTCAGTGTTAGTTTCATCTTATCAGCAGCCCCACAGCTTGTTTGTAAAGACAAACTTGTCATCCCTCTCAGAGCCCTTTTGGTTTCAAATCCCAAACGTGCCCAGTGTGAAGTCAGCTCCCCATTGTTCAGCAACAGGAAGTTTGGATCCAGCAGTGGCTCTGAGCCTTTTGCCCCCATTTTTGAATCCCTGCTCCTTGTGCACGGGGGATGCTGCGAGTGAGGGATGTCCCACAGGTGTTTGTCAAGCCCTTTGTCATAGCCAGCCCTACAAACAAGTGCAGCCCTGGTGCAGCTGCTGGGCACAGCTGGGAAGTTCACACACCTGGAAATGGGCAGGGACTGTGCAGTGCTTCCTCTGCAGCTCTGGAGGCATCAGCACCACCCTCCTGCCCTGCTGCTCCCTGTCCTGCACGGGTGCTAGCAGGTACTGGAGCTGGCCAGTCCCGGGGTGCCACAGGAAGCCTGGGCAGATCAATCAGCTTCTCACACTGTTTCCCACCCACTGGGTCCTTTCCTGTGCCCTCTTCTCCTGCCTGGAAGAGCTGGCTCTCTGCTGCCTTTGGATGTTACCTCCTGTCCTGCCAAAACTGGAAGTAGTCCCTACCAGAGCAGGAGGAGCCCGTTTCCCACCCTCTCCTGCATGCAGGATGGTGCAATTGATCACCAAGAAGTGTCCTTCCATTTCACAGGGCCTGCGACAGAATTTTCCAGGATGTAGGCTGGGCTGAGGACTTTTGCCATTGCTTTGTTTGTTACCTGGAGCAGATGAATCACATCCCAATGGCACAGTTATATCAGGGCAAACCCCAGCAGGGCTGGCAGGACTGCAGATAGAGCTGGGGACATGGCTGAGCAGTTATCTTGGTGGTGCTGTGTTAACGATTGGAGTCTGAGATTGCTTGGAATTGACGACTTTAATGTCTCAGAGAGGTCCTTAATGATTCCCTGTTTGTACAACAAGGAATTATCAGCTGATTCCATACGATCTCTTCTGGCAATAGCCACTGTAGAAAGAGGGCTCCTGGCTATGGGACAAGGTCTGACAAGGGATTTCGGTGGCCCCATGTCCCATGACATGGGCCCGAAGAACAGCTGCTGTTCTTTGTTGTGCATCTCATGCCGTGCAGGAGATTGGTGACCCTTGTTCACTGCCAGAGATGCTGACTCCAAAGCAGGAATCAGCATCTCCTTTGACCTTTGCCAAAGGTCTTTCCTCTGCACCGACCTGGGAAAAAGGCAAGGGAATTTCTCAGGGATTTTATGCACACACAGGAGAATTGTGTAGCCAAGTGACAGCTCCAGCTTCCACCCAAAGCACTGCTGGGGTCAAACCACAGCTCTGGTGCCCAAGGCACTCAGGCCATCTGCAGTTTTCAGCTGGGCTGTGAAGCGAGGTCAGCCTGGCTCCCAGCAGGTATCCTGCCTGTGTGGCTCATGGCACTGGGCAGGGCAGGAGGAGGAGGAGGAGGAGGAGGAGGAAGAGTTGTGCATTTCAAAAGGCACATCTGGACCAGCTGAGGGGTGCTGAGCACGTGGATGTCTCAACTGCCCTGTGCTGAGGCTGTCATGGAGAACCAGACTCTTTGCTTTGCTGCAGTTTCTTAGGGGTGTCTGGGGGCTGTTTCTGCTGGGAGCTGAGCTCTGGACAGACAGGTGGGAAGTGCTCCAGTCCCCAAGGGCAATCGCTGTGGTCGTTCCAGCCTGGCTATGGGCTGTGTGCCCAGATCAGCAGGCGCTTCCTGCCTCTGCCCTCCTGCCTGCCCTTGGGGCTGCAGGAGAGGTGTGGGGATCACAGCAGCCATGGAATCTGTCCCTGCACATGTCTTACATGCTGTGGTATCAGCAAGAACTGCTCAGGCAGGAGACCCACAGCTGGAGATGCCGTTTCCCTGCCTGGAGCAGAGAGGACCCTCTCAGGGACAGTCTGGGCTTGCTGGGTGACAGATGTGACCTGGTCCCAGGTGTTGTGGGAGGGGTTTTGAGGTGGCAGCATGTGGGTGCTGGAGGGATGTGGCTCTCAGGGGATGGTCACACTGGTACCCTGCCAGGCCACAGTCCTGCTCCCAGCTTGGAGCTCCAGCTAGCCACGGCCAGGCTTCCCCCACTGGTGCTGCTGGGAAGGAAGATGCTGACTTGCCAGGCAGGGAACAGCTTGAGCAGGGCAGTGGGCTGGGGTCCAGGCACACAGGGACATGAGGGGCTGCAGGTGAGAAGGCAGGGCTGGAGAAGCTGTGCTGAAAATCCTTCAAGGAGGGAGTGCTCAGAATGGAAGGGCAGCCCTGAGGCTGCCAGCAGCCCTACTGGAACGGCTCCAGAGGAGCCCATGGATATTATCCTGTTCCATGCCAAGAGCAGCCATGCACCAGGGAATGGCTTCATCCTCGGGAAGGGGAACATCCCATATCCATCCACGAGGAGTGAGCTGGGGGCTGGGGCTGTCCTTGCAGGTTGGAGCAGGAATGGGCTCCAAAGCCAAGGCCATTGCCAGTCTCCTGGCAGCCACCTGTGTCTGCAGTGTCATCGCCCTCATTCTGAGCGTCGTGAATGTCAAGGATGTGCTTCTTCCCCCCAGCACCAAGGTAGGCTCCTCAGGAGGAGCACAGTTCTCACTTGGCTGCTGCCTTCCTGGTGGGTGTTGGATTCTGCCCAGGTTTCAGGCAGGCTGTGCTGTTTGTCACCAACATGGGGACAAAGCCCTGCACAGACTGGGGTGGGTCTGGCTCAATTTGGTCACTGTGCCTGGCCTCACAGCACTTTCATTCCAAAGCACTGCCAGCTCCAGGGGCTTGGGATGGATCCTTGTCCCCAGCACAGCTGGAGACTGCAATGCCACCAGACTTTTTCTGTCCTGGTCTTGTTTGGCCACTCGAGGCTGCCCTGCCTACCAGGAGCTCTGCTGGTTGTCCTGGAGCTTCTCTCTCTCTGCAGCAGGTGATGCTGCACCCCTGACCCCGTGTCCCTGTGCCTCCCCAGTACGGTCTGGTGTTTGATGCTGGCTCCACACACACGTCCCTCTACATCTACCGGTGGCCTGCAGACAAGGAGAACGGCACCGGCATTGTCTCCCAGGTGGAGGCCTGCTCTGTGTCCGGTGAGTGTGCCAGGATCTGTCCTCCCTCTGCGTGCCCAGCTCACCTGGGGGTGGCCAGCCTTGCTGCTGCCTTGCGTGGCTGTTCCACACACCAAAGCTGATTCATGCCAGCTGTGATAAATGCTAATTTATATTTTGGGCAGTTCTAAGTATCCACAGGGACGTTTATTCCTATTGCAAAACTGCTGTCAGGCTTTGGCACAAGGACAAGTCTCTCTGGAAGAAATGCCCAGGCTAGAGGGCAGATCTAGGATCACATAAATGGTACATGGAGCTGGGCTGGGGCTAGCAAAGACCACCAGGCCAGGGCAGAGGTGCCTGGGCAGGGGGCAAGAGGGCTCAGAGTTCACCTTGCCCTCATGTCCCGCTGGGCAGCGCTGGCTTGGCTGTTACTGGTTAACAGCAAAGGTCTGGCTGAGGGCAAAGTGTAACACAAGGGGTGCCTGGGTTTAGCTCCCGGGAAGATAAGGAGTGAGATTTCCATCCCAGAGCCTGTTCCTACACCCTGCAGGACCATGCTGGGTTCTCAGATCCAGTGCCAGCCTCTAAAAATAGGGAGGCTGTGCAAGGGCACCTCTGTGTGCCTATCAGCTCCACGTGCCATTGCCGCAGGGTGCAGAGACCCAGCCCCTTCCTCGGGGAAAGGGGAATGGCTGTGTTTGTCCCCAGGTCCTGCGGGACTGACTGGCCGTGCCCAGCACTCGGGCTGGCCAGGAGCAGCCGTGAGCTCAGCATCCGCAGGGCGTGTGGCCATGGCACAGCTGCTGTCCCCAGGCAGGACAGCTCCCAGCACGGCTCAGGGCTGACCTGGCAAGCCTGGGACTAGCCGGGGCAAGCAACGAAAGAGCCCTGAGGGATTTCTGGGTGGACATGTCCCCGTGCGTGCCGTCCCTCCGGGGTGCCGCTGGGCTCTCTCCATCGCCGCTTCCCTGTGGCAGGACCCGGCATCTCCAGCTACGCCGATGAGCCTGCAGGGGCTGGCGCCAGCCTGAAGCCTTGCCTGGACAAGGCCATGAAGATCGTCCCGGCCGAGCAGCAGCGGGAGACCCCCACGTACCTGGGGGCCACGGCCGGCATGCGGCTGCTGAGGTAGCGGCACGGGCAGGGGCAGCTGCCGGCCTTGGCGGCGCTCCGGGGCCGCCCGCAGCCGGGGCTGGCAGCGGGG